ACTGCCCTGTAAGGTTTCCAACGAGCAGTTGGTGGATTCGAACCGCTGACTTTTTGGTTAGCCAAGCTCTTAACCACTGTGCCACCAGGGCTGCGACTGGATACACAGGTAAACAGATATGCCAAGAGGTGTGGGAGGGTATAAAGGAACACATCCACCTGCATATATAGGTTTGATAGCAGACATTTCTGCACACATAACTGTACATGCTGCTTACATATTAATATAGACAATAGAGCACAGCAGGGCCAGGGTCAGGGCAACTTCTTAGGCATAACCAAACACTTCACAGGACGAAGTTCCTAGTTCAAAGGTGAAGGACTATAGATGTGGGGTACATCTACATCAACTGCACAACATAGCTCATAAAGACAAAATTCTGCATCCTACTTTGTTGAATACCATCTGGGGTCTTAAAAGCTTGCAAGCAACCATATAAGATACAACTATTGGCCACTTACAGCCTGGAGCAAAGGCGAATTAAGAAAAGACCCAAGGGAACAATTAGTCCAAAGGACTAATGGACCACATGAACCACAGCCTACACGACCCCAAGACCAGAAGAACTAAATGATACCTGGCTACCACTACCAACCACTCTGACCAGGATCACAACAGAAGGTCCTGGACAGAGCAGGGGAGAAACTGAAGAACAAAAAATCAAATCCCCAAAAAAGACCAGACTTACTGGTCTGACAAAGACTGGAGGAATCCCTGAGACTATGGTCCTAAGACACCCTTCTGAACTAGAACTGAAGCCACTGCCGGAGACTACTACCCTTCAACCAAACCACAGACAGGCCCATAAAATAAACAGTAACACCTGAGAGGAACATGCTCCTTAGAACAAGGAATTACACAAGATCAAAAGGGCAACATTTGCCCAAAAGCAAAGATGAGACAGCAGTAAGGGGTAGCAATTCAGGACAAAAGGAAACTAGGAACCTAGGACGGAAATGGGAGTGCTGGCACATTGTGGGGAAATGAAACCAATGTCATGGAACACTTTACGTACAAGATATCAAAAGGGAAACTAATTTGCTCTGTAAACTTTCACTGATGCACAATAAAAATTTTTTTAAAAAGTCACCTATATGAGAACAAATGGTCAACATTTACTTTAAAACAAAAATGAGAATATAAAGGGGCAGGGAAACTAGATTAATGGAAACAATAATCAGAATGGAAATAATGAGAATATTCACGCATTGTGAAGAATGTAACCAATGTTAGTGAACAACTTGTGTCTGTGTAGAAATGGCTGAATGGGAACAGAAACTGTTGTGTAAACCTTCATCAAAAACATAATAAAATATTATTTAAAAAGAAGAAATGTAAATTAAAAAAATAATTGAGAACCTCATCTACCTTATTTACCGCTGTAACCCTAGCACTTGACAAATAGTGAGAACGAAGTATTTCTGGAAGTAATGGATATTCGTTGATGGTGAGGATGTAGACGAAAGGACCCTCGTACACTGCTGGAAACAACGTACACTGGTATAATCTTACCATAGGGAAAAGTAACACAACGAAAATTTTAAATACACATATCCTTGGGTACAGCAATTCCATCTATAGGAATTTATAGTAAAATGTCCATGTAAGTGTAATAAACATGTACAAGAAATCCCCTATAATTATTTATAATAACAACAACAAAGTAGAAACAACCCAAATATCCACCAGTAAGAAGCTGTTTAAATAAATTACGATACTACACAAAGAAACACTATGTGGTCATTTAAAACAATGAGAAACTGATACAAAAAAATGTCCAAAATATACGGTTAAGTGGTAATGGCAAGCTGTGTAACAGTAGCATAGTATGATCTAATTTTTACTGAAATACATAAATGATAGTATATTCATAGAAAAATGTCTGGGACACTAAATACCAAAATGTTTATCAACAGTTGCCTCGGGAGAGTAAAATAACAGAGGAGTTTTCACTTTCTACATCATACATTTCTGTACTGTTTTATTTATACCACGAGCATTTATCACCTTTGTAAAAAGAAAAAAAATTACAATAAAAATGTATGGGGACTTGGTAGGACATATATGAATGCCACAACAATGTATTAAGTCCTCTCAAATCTGAATTTGGATTCATTCAGCTAAACTCTTAGAATTAACATACTAAAAGGGTTATACAGTGAAACCTGTGAGAGCTGGAACTCACCAGGACTGCCTTGTTTTATTTATCCAGGTCTCGCAAGTTTTCCGCCTTTGATAGGGAGTGGTCTTACCACTTTTCTATCCCTCGTTTTAATGGAAAACATTTGAGTTTTCCTTCTCTGACAGGTCTCTGCCTTACACAGGTTCTGGCTTCTGCAGGTTTTACTGTATTTTTGATCTCTTAATTCCAGAATATGCCTAAAATCAATCCTCTAAAGAAGATCAAAGGGGCCCTGGAGGCAAAGTGGTTAAGCACTCAACTGCCAACTGAGAAGGTCAGAAGTTCAAACCCACCAGCAGCTCCACAGGAGAAAGATGCAGCAGTCTGCTTCCAAAAAGATTTATAGCCTTAGAAACTATCATGGATTGAACTGTGTCCCCCAAAAATGTGTGTCAACTTGGCTAGGCCATGATTCCCACTATTGTGTGAACTGTCCACCATTTTGTCATCTGATGTGATTTTCCTTTGTGTTGTAAATCCTATCTCTATGACGTGATGAGATGGGATTAGTGACAGTTATGTTAACAAGGCAGGACTCAATCTACAAGATTAAGTTGTGTCTTAAGCCAATCTCTTTCGAGATATAAAAGAGAAGTAAGCAGAGTGACACAGGCACCACATACCACCAAGAAAGCAGTGCCAGGAGCAGAGCATGTCCTTTGGCCCCAGGGTTCCTGCACGGGAGAAGCTCCTAGTTCAGGGGAAGACTGATGACAAGGACCTTCCTCCAGAGCCAACAGAGACAGAAAGTCTTCCCCTGAAGCTGACGCCCTGAATTTAAACTTCTAGTCTACTAGACTGTGAAAGAATAAACTTGTTTGTTGAAGCCATCCACTTGTGGTATTTCTGTTACAGCAGCAGTTCTACTCTGTCCTATAGGGTCTCTATGAGTTGGAATTCAACTCGACTGCAATGGGGTTTTTTGTTGTTTTTTTTTTTTTTTTTTAAAGAAGATCAACAACCTCAAATTAAATAGGTCATTGAATTTTGGGAAAGGTCAGCCAAAAGAATATCTCTATATTGGATAATAAGGTCCCTGGGTGCCACAAATGGTTTGTACAAAACTAGCCTAAAGGTTGGTGGTTCAAACCCACCCAGCAGCGCATAGCAATCTGCTTCCATAAAGATTACAGCCAAGAAAACACTATGGAACAGTTCTACTCTGTAACAGACAGGGTCGCCAAGAGTTAGAATCAACTCAACGTTTATGGGTTTTTTTACATGGGATAATTACCAGATTACTCATCCATTGTAACAAGTTTACTGAAGATACTTTAGAGGATATTCAGAAAAATGAGTCCTTGTCCTTGCTAAGCTTAATATATAGGAAATAAGGAAAAGCTTAAAAGGTGAAAATATATATTAACCTTTACATGTACAGAGTGGACATACTGATTTGAGATTTATTTCACTCCAGATTTCAAGTCTGTATCATAATAAAAGGAAGAACTGTAGAAAACCTTCAGAACTGGCAAGAAAGCTATGCACTCCTCTTCAAATTTCTCTTTTAATCCACTACCTTCCATTCTGGCTGTGCCAGGTAACTTTAATTAAGCACTAATGTGCTTCTCTCTCTCTTAATAACGCAGTGTGAGCAAAGTGGCACACAAAATAAAGGATATTACTTATAAGAACGGTGCTCTACTAAAAAACCATCTGCATGAGACCAAAAGGTTGACATTTGTTCTAAAGGAAAGATGAGAAGATAAGGTGGCAGAGAAACTAGAGTACTGGAAATGGAACAACCAGAGCACAATTAGACAGAATGCTGACACACGGTGAAAAATGTAACCAATGGCACTGAACAATTTGTGTGGAAATTGTCAAATGAGAACCTAACTTGCTGTGTAAACTTTCACCAAAAAACACAATTAAATAATATTAAAAAACAAACAAATAAATAAAGGCACTGTTTTTTCAGAGGCAAGGCATGGCTGGAGGCAGAGGGATCTAAGCAGAGGAGAAAACCACACTGACTGGATACTAACAAAAATCATGAATACTTAATCCACAAATTCAAAGGGTTTCCTGTGCCCTTACTTCCACTACTGATTACATTACAGCAGCAATATCTAGCTTCACAGTTTCTCTTCCTATGGCGTAAGACAGCTCAGAACCCACATCATAAGGACAAGTCTGAAACACTTTTCCTCAAAAGCATTAGCCACAGTGAAATATCTGACTCACAAATCCATATGACATATTCAAGTTTATCCCTATTAGCTTGGGATTTTATTAACATTACCTGCAACAGGGGTATCGTTATGCACTTGCTTAAAAGTCATTTACAATAATGTTAAATAGGACAATTTTAGGTAGCAAAACTGAAAACAGCAGTATTTAAACTGTCCAGGAAAAAAAAAAATCCCTTTATTATTTTCTTCTTCCTGTTCCTAAAAGTCATTATCATATAGTGCACCTTCCCCTCCAACCGGTCACTGACTGCAATTTTGTCAAAGGCTTTTATTCACTTGTTTTCCTGTGCTTATATTATTACTTACCACTGCAAAAAGCTATGCTTAAATTAAGCATGATTTCCGCTTTAATGCTACTCCCTCAACCCAGAAAAGTTAGGTTTAAATGTTCTGTTTCTTTCTTAGAGAATCCACCTACTAGGTTGAACTAAACCTACCAGACAACTAGACACTTCATAGGAAAACTGGAACACTGGAATTAAATCAGCAGTGTGGCACATAATGAAAGCGATAAACCCTAACTTCCAAAGCTCAAATCCCAGCTCAGTTGAAAAGACCAACCACAAAATAGGAAGTTGTAATCAGTCACAAAAGGATTATATTATATAAAAAATTATACTTACATTTCGATGAAACTGTGTAAAGGACTGAATCATGTAGAATCGATGCATGTATACTATAGCAGTGTTGATAGTCAACTGTGAGCTGAAGTGTTCACGTTAAGACCCAAAAAACAGGCTGGTAGGCAGTATAATTCCCAAAAATACAACCTCCTCCTAAAAAAAGACCATATAGCCAAGCACCTTAGATGACCCTAAATGAAAATCACACTTACCTCTCCAAATTAAAGAGCAGGTCATTTTCTTACACCAAATTATTAACTGCTAATAGACGCTCAGCACAATGCCTTACACAAAATAAGTACTCAATACAAATTTGTTTGACTGAATACGCAAATAAGCTTCTCAGGAAGCCTGGATCAAGATGGGATATAAACAAAACCATATACAATCTAAACCTGTCTGCCACTTGCCAACTGCAATGGTGAATCAATCATTAGCTCAGGGTATCTGTTTAATGTGATTTACAAGGCCCTCTGGATCTGGCCCCTGGGTATGTCTCCACTATCTCCCTCACCTTCTTAGTTCCAGCAATTAACGTTTTAGTTCCTCTGCTCTCTGGAAACCAAGCCATCTCACATGGTGATCTCTGGGACCAGAAACACTGGATACTAACAAAAATCATGAATGATTTGATACTCATTCAGTGGCAAGAAAAACTTTTTTTTTAGGAAAAACTTTGAAATGCTTTACATCTAAAGACCTCAGAAGGCAGTCCCATAGTGAGAACCACCTTAAAAACAACACACATACAAAAAGGGAAGTTTTAAGAAGGCGCTGAAACAACTTCAAATAAAAAGACTTAATTCAGTACCGACTAGATGCCTAGGAAGCAAACTGGGTATCTGCAATAATGAAGAGGACATCTCTTTTTAGATGAGCACAACCTTAAGACACAAACATCACCATCAGCAACACTATTTAAACAGACATTGAATTCTTAAACAAGAATAATTTTTATATGCAGTGGTAAGAAGTTAAACATTCTGTTCGTTTTTTCAGCCACAAAGAGTATATTTTCTGACAAAAACACTTCGGGGCGGGGGGGGGGAATCGCACAAACTACTTCATTTTTGAAAAATGAAAAATAAATAAACATTAGCACTATCAGTAACGTAAGAAACTGATATTTTGTAAACGATTTCTTAAAATATTAGATTTGTAGATCTCCATCCCTACAAATCTAAACTGACATCCTTCCTTCCTTCCTCTGAAATTCAATAAAACACTAACAATTGCTACTATTTGAGTGTATGAGTGCCAAGCAAAAGATATCATCCCATTTCAGATGAGAAAATCAAGAATTTGACAGGTCATTTAACTAGGAAGCGGGAGGGTCAAAATCTGAACCAAAGTTGCTGGGGCATTACTTCTAGATCACCCTTTATAAGACCTTCAGGTTCTGAACTTCTCAAAACTCTTCACACACTAAGTTTAGGGGGCAGCCATCAGTACTGAAACATCTACCAAACCCCTAGGGCATAGCGGAAAATGAGACTCTCAAAGTCATCAGAGCAAGACGTCAGAACACACTGAAGACAGACTAGGAAGGTGTGGTTAAAACCCAATGCCAGGAAAGATACGAATTCCCAGCAAGGTGTATGGAAATGGTGAGCGAGCGGGAAATTAACTCCGCCTCGCTTCCCTCGCGCAAACACTGAATTTCAGTCCGCACCATCATGTGCTCTCCCATCTAGACATCCAGCCCCTAACCACCCTCTCTTCCCCTTTCCGTCCCTGATAAGAGCCTGAGGCCTGGACGCCGGAGCATGGCGGGACTGACTCCAAGGCCGAAGGCCTAGGCCGCAAGGATACACGTTAAGACGTTGCCCCATGTCCTGAAGCAGATTGGCCGCCTGCTGACGATAAGAAAGTTCTTTATCTGGGTCCAGGCCAAAACGACGAGATGGGCTATTTTCCAACTGTTCCCGAGTAAAATACCACCGTTTGTTGTTGTTCTTCCTCTCTCCCTCCATAGTGCTTCAACCAGAAGGCAGCGGCGGAGGCTGCAAGCACTTCCCAGTGTCACCTACGGGGCGACACACATCCGCTGTGCTGAGGCAACTGCGACGTGACGAACTTCCGCTAAGGGTCGAACTCTAGGTTGTGACACGCTTCCGCCCGTAGAATGATAGTCAACGGGATTGCTTTCGGAATGGACCTCGCGACACCCTGTAGCCGAGTTAACAGCCAGTAGGCGATCAGGAAAGAACGTGGGTCTACGACGCAGGAACCAATCATGTGACCCTGGGAGGTAGGGTGGGGTTAGGAGTTCTCGCTCAAAAAAAAAAAAAAAAAAAAAAAAAACACGTCTCTTCGCGCGAGAACTGGGCTGAGGGTTCGCGCCTTGGGAGAGGAGGCGAGGCGACAGTTATGGCGGCGTCGGGAGCAGGGTTGCTTTCCCGTTGTCGGCTCTTCCGAGAACTTTATTGGTGCGGGAGGTAAAGATATAAAATGGGACAAGAGGAGAAAAAGAGTAAATAGGTGAGACTGTCAGACACTGAAAAGGATAGTCAAAGCGAGTGGCCCTATCATATATCGAAGCATAAAGCAACTAGAAGGCTCTTAGATTGTTAACAATGTAAAGCAGTACAGTCCATCTGAAAAGCCGCTTTGCAGTATGTATCCAAAACCATGAAAATATGTCTATGCTTTACCACGTGATCCAATTTAAAGGAACAAAGTAAAATTAATTGCCAGCATTAATTTAGCGATTACCATGTCCCTGGCACAATACTTGATCTTAAATGAGTATATGAGTCTCGTTTAATTGGCTCAACCCCAAAAGATAGTAATATTTTAATCCCTGTTTTGCAAACGGGTGAACTAAAGCTGCTCCTGGGAAGTTTCCACCACCACCATTCACATGCACAAATTTGTAAGTTCCTGTTTTCTGTCCTCTGTCAAGATGTATAAGTGCTTCAGCACTTGATAGTTGTTTGATCTTGGGCAAGATATGTAACCTGTCTGTGCCTCTTCTGGAGCACTGGTGACCAAAAGGCCGGGAATTTCAAATCTACCAGCCGCTCCTTGGAAACCCTGTGGGACAGCTCAACTGTGTCCTGTAGGGTCGCTATGAGTTGGAATGAGTCGTCGGCAACGGGTTTTGGTGGTGCCTCTTCTATAAAGTGGAAATGATAATAATAGTACCTACGTCTTAGGTTGTGAAAAGGATTACATGAAGATTTCATGTGTTAAAAGCACTTGTAATAGTACCTGGCACATAGAATAATTTAGTAGATGTGATCATTGTTATTGTAGTATTTACTATATTGTATTGAGATTGTTTGAGAGAAGGACCATGCCATGTTCATTTGTGTCCCAGCACCTACCTAGTAGAGGCCTGGCCCTCCTAGATAGTCAAATATATGTCAGACAAATGCTCACAACACCCTACAATAAAGAAACTGACACTGGGAGATATTAAGTGGTTTGCCCTATCCATTGTTCTTTCCACACCGGCAAACTGACTCCTGTACTCCCGCCTTTCTGGAACCACACTCATTTACCTTGATTAAATTTGGATGGTGTTAGAAGTCTTTGTCTTGCTTTTATAATAATTTGGGTTTTGACATTTCTATACTCAGCTGCCCTTACTCAGTGTGTTTAATTCTAATTCATTCTCAGAAGTATTTTCTTCCATTTTAGATCCCCCCTACCCCCACCATATACTGCTTTCAATTAGTATTAGCTCCATTTTACTTCAGAAAAATTGAGGTTCAGGAAGATTTAAATTACTTAATTCAGGTTATAACATAAAAAAGCTTATGATTTTAAGCTTCTTCCATCACAGGTATTTTTCTTTTAGTAAAATAAACGCTTTTTCAGTTGTGTAGTCTTGTATATTGTCTTTTAAACAACCAAAATTATCCCTCCCAGATCCCTCTTGCCTAATTCTCTGATCTGTGTTTGGTTCTCCACCTAATCTCTTGGACTCTGTTTTGAATTTGCCATTCAGGCTGAATGTGCCCCTTTTCCAAGAAAAAGTGTTCTGGTATCTCTCAGGCATCAGGCAATGTGGCTTCTAATCAATGGCTGCCCTGCTTTACAGAAGAGGGGGCCTATACAAATCAGAGAAAGCAAATATTTTTTGACTGAAGATGTCAATGGTAGCGTAATTGCTAAGCATATGACTTTTTTGAGTCAGGCCTGGATTCAAATCCCAGCTCTTTGAACTAGTATGATCTTGAATGTCATCTCTGCATATTAACAGAACACCATTTGGCACGTAGTAGTTGGTGTTCAATACATGTTTATATTGAATAAGTATCAGCCTTCAAATCAATTTGCCCTAAAAAAACAATTAAGCCAGAGGAATTTTCCCTTCTAAAAAAATATAAGGCTGTTTCCTGGAAATCATACCTATAGGGCTACTCTTCTATTCACTGGGCTAGTCTTGCTCTGGATATAGGATTATACTATATTTCATAGTTCTGTCTTATTTTCCACTGTGCTTATAAATGCCAGCTTTTTCAGTTGCGCCAAACATTAACATTTACAACTGTTAAAACAGTTTATTTCCAACATTCATATAGTCTCCAACTTGAAATAGGAAAAGATGGTGTGCTACTATACAGCTCTTCCCAACTCCACTTTAGATAACTTCAGCCATGGTGTTTGTGTGGAGTAAATGATTAACAACCAACTATCCAGAATATGTATACGTATGTGTACATAAGTTTATTGTAAATTTTACTGACATAAAGGATATGTAGCACACAACGTATTAAAAATAATAATAAAATGTACAGTATTCTTTATTGTAAATTTCTTATAGCCAACTGATTCTCACAGAATACCTTCATTGACTTTTGCCAAACTCATAAATCAATAGCCAGCCTGTGGTTGCAATTGCCAGAGTGTAGCTTTGAATGTTGGTTGATATTTTCACTTGCATTAATCATGAGATCAGAGTGAAACAATGAAAATTTATGTCAGAACTTCACTCATTTGTCAGTGAGTTGAGAAACTTCTTTGAATTGGATAATAGTTTTTGAATACTGGAAGAATTTTGCTTGTTTTTTTTTTTGCTATTGAGAATGTAATGACTGTAGACATGACATACTTTTAAATTTAATCTGCGGTATTAACATTTTCTCTATCACTTAAGTCTAGACAATGGCAATCAACAAACCAATATATCAAGCTCTTGTTAGTAGCATTTGCCAATTTCTGTGGTGTAAGTTCTGCCATAGCTGATTTCAAGCTACCCATGTGACATCACTGATCATGGAGTTGGGAAGAGATGCACACACCATTATTTAGTGTTTTCTCCGTACAGGTACAAAATATGTAAATAACCTCATGAACATAGAAAATAGTAAAGTGTAGTGTAATAATTAGGACAAGATGAGTTATGAATTTTTTTACATTGGTTTTTAGTATAGTTTATTCAGTTGTAAGTTTATACAATTAATTTTTAATTATAGCTTTTTTAATAACCAGCTCACAAAATTCTTGAAAATTTTTAACGAGCAGGTCTCATGTGCAGTGTGGGCAGGTTCCAGTATACCACTGCCTGAAATAATTTAAAGACTCATTGAAAGTATCAGATTGAGATTTAAATAATATTTGTTAAGCTTCTCTTATGTGCTGAACACAGTGCTAAGAACATTTGCATATATTATCTCATTTAATTCTCATAACTGTGTGAGACAGATACATCATTGCTCTTTTTTAACATAAAAAGTAGGCTTAGCTAATCTATTCAAAGTCAGATACCTGTAAGTGGCAAAGCTAAGATTTGAGCCCAAGTCAGTGCTCTTTCTACTCACTGCTTTCTGAAGCTTAAGGTATAAGTAAGACTAAGGCAAGAAAAAAGATTCTGGCACTTGATTCCTCCTTTTTCCTCAAGTTGTTTAGCCCACTCCCATATCAGTTCCACTGTGAACCCATAAATTCTGTGCCTAATTAGACAAAGGAAGTATCAGTCATGCTAATTCTTCAGGACATTACCATGGTTACCAAACAGAGTCCAGTGCTCCAGCCTGAACATTCCACAAGAGGACAAGGCAGAGCTGAGATGGCCTTCTTCAACTTGTATCTATTGGGATATCAAAATTCTTTTCGGAACAAAAAAAAGGACACAACTGAAGAAACAAGTAAGGGGAATATAGAGTGGGGGAGGGTTAGACGTCCATTTCTTTTCCTATCTGGGGTTAGAGATTTATCCCCCAAGACCAGCAGCTATATTAGGTGGAATTATGGAGTAGTGAAAGTACCCATTCAGCTTCCCTCTTCTGTCACTCAAGCTCTTTATTAAGGCATCCAGTTCGTTCAACTGGATGAACGTGCTCATTCATTCATTTGCTCGTTTAGTCAACCTTTATTAAGCACCAACAATGTGCCAGACCTTTGCTGGTGACTGGATAGATAGTCCATGCTATCGAGTAGCTGACTATCTGATGAGGAAGATAAGTTTGCCAACAGAAAAATTACAATTTAGTGTATAATTAAATGTAAAATGCTATGAAACCACAAAGGAAGAAAATACCTGAATACCACTGGATTTGGAAAGAGAATGAGGGGATCTTTTAGAGAAGGCCTCACAGAGGAAATGCTTCTAGAACTGAGTGTTGAAGGATAATTGGAGTAGGCAAGAAGGGAACTAGCACAGATAAGAACAGAGAACTGAGAGAGCCATGTTATGTGAACTCCAAGTACATGGATACAGATGAAGGGTAAAGTAGAGAGGTGTTGGGAAGCAGGCCTTGAAAATTAAGCAGGAGCCAGATAACTGAGGATGCTGTTAGCCATACTAAAAACTTTAACCTTATAGGAAGCCTTTGAAGGGTTTTTAGTAGGCAGTTAGTAAATACAAGATCTGTATTATAGCCACAGTCCCTAGCAGTGCCTCCTACATAATAGAGGTTTAATAAATATGTGTAGGATGGGTGAAAGAGCAAATGATTTTGAATGACTAACTAAAAGGGAGGAGCCCTGGTGACACTGGTTAAGTGTTCGACAGCTAACTGAAAGTTCAGTGGTTCAAACCCACCAGCTGCTCCTTGGGAAGGAGATGTGCAGTCTGCTTCCATGAAGATTTACAGCCTTGGAAACCCTATGGGGCAATTCTCCTCTGTCTTACAGGGTTGCTATGAGTTGGAATCAACTCAATGGCAGTGGGTTTGTTTAACTCAAACAAGAAGCATAGGCTTTGCAGGAAATTGCATTAGATCTTAGAAGATGAATTGTTTGAAAGCACAGAAATGGAGGAGAAAGGGTATTCCAAGCAGAATGGAGAATATATTAAGGAAATTAAGTGTAGGCGGGCACTGAAGTAAAAATTATATTGGGGTGGAGGGTGGGAAGATATCCTCCAGTAGCTTTCTAAAAATGCATAGAAGGTATATTTTTTAATTCAGAATGGCTTTATTCTACCCTCACATTTGATAGTTTGTCCAGATATAGAATTCTAGGTTGAAAACCATCTTCTCATAATTTAGAGGTATGCCTTTATTGTTTTCCAGCTTCCAGGTGAATACCTTTGTGTGACTTGTTTTTTTATTTCTTTCTGGGAGCTTTTAATTTTCTTTTTGTCCCATTTTTGTTTTTAATTTTATTGTGTTTTAGGTGAAAATTTACAGCACAAATTAATTTCTCATTCAAAAATTTATACACAAATTGTTTTTCAACATTGATTGCAATCCTTGCAATGGATCAGCATTCTTTCCCTTTCCCTTTCCACCCCAGGTTCTGTGTCCATTCGTCCAATTTTCCTGTCCCTACCTGCCTTCTCGTCTTTGCTTTTGGGCATGTAATGCTCATTTGTTCTCTTACACTTGATTAAACTAAGAAGCACATTCCTCACGTGTGTTATTTTTGTTTTATAGGGCTGTCTAATCTTTGGCTGAAAGGTGGACTTCAGGAGTGGCTTCAGTTCTGAGTTAGCAGGGTGTCCAGGGACCATAGTCTCGAGGGTTCCTCCAGTCTCTGTCAGACCAGTAAGTCTGGTCTTTTTTTTTTTTTTTTTTATGAATTTGAATTTTGTTCTACATTTTTCTCCCACTCTGTCTGGGATCCTTTATATTTTGATCCCTGTCAGAGCAGTTGGTGGTGGTAGCAGGCGCCATTTAGTTCAGGACTCAGGCTGGTGGAGGCTGTGGTTCATGTGGTACATTAGTCCTTTGGACTAATATTTTCCTTGTGACATAATGTCATCTTGTCTCTCTTTTTGTGATATTAACAATCATTGATGACTTCCCAGATACATTAATTCATGGGGTTTGCCAAATGGTGATATTTAGTTTTATCATTCCGTCTTCGTTTATTAGCTGGAATACTTCTATGAAGAGATATTTCCCTTTAGCAGCTATTTGGTTACCCTAATTACCAGTTGCCATCAAGTTGACTCTGACTCATGGTGTATCAGAGTAGAACTGTGCTCTGTAGGGTTTTTTTTTTTTTTTTTTGGGGGGGGGGCGCAGTTTGTGCTTTAGGTGAATGTTCCTTAGTATTTTGAAATTTCATTATGATGGACTTTGCTATTAGTCTTTTTTCTTCCATTGCAGCGGACACTCCATGAGCTCTTTTAATCTGGAAATTGATGCCCCTCATTTCTGAAAATTTTTCTTTTATTTTTTCTTTATTAATTTATTCTATATTTTGTCTCATTTGTCTTTTTGGAACTCTTATTTGTCAGCTATTAAACCTCCTGAATTGATCTTCTAACTTATTAATTTATTAATCTTTCTCTAATTTTTTTTTTTAATTTACTTTTCGAGAGGCTTCTTTGATTTTATCTTCCAACTGTATGTATTATCTACTGCTGTGTAACAAATTGCTCCAAAACTGAATGGCTTAAAACAGTGGACATTTACTACCTTACAGGTTCTGTGAGGATGTTATGCTTTGTTTTGTTCTTTATCAATATTGTTGGCATTCTGGGTCCCTTCCATTTCCATATAAATTTCAGGACCAGCTTGTCGTGTTTGGCAGGTGCCATTATCTTTGGGTGATACTTCCTCACAAGGTATCTGGAAAGGGATCTGACATTTATCCCTCTCCTGCATCCTAACTTATATATTGAATTTGGCAAATATTCAGGAGTCTCCAGCTTGGTCCAGGACAAGGTCATCTAAGTTTTTATTAGTAATTCTTTAAGATGCTCTTGATATATTTTAGAAAATATGAACAGCTCAAAATTGTATACAGTAGAAGCTCCCCTAAAGAAACTCCATTCAGTATACTTGCTAGATTAATTCATTTTCCATTTCCTCGGAAAAGCATCAAAAGATGCCTGCAACAATCCGTGGTGATTCAGTAGTAGAATTCTCACCCTCCATGATTCCCTGCCACTGCATCTCATGCACAGCCACCTCTCTGTCAGTAAAAGCTTGAGTTTTGCGATGATGTTGAACAGGTTTCAGTGGAGCTTCCAGACTAAGATGGACTAGGAAGAAGGGCCTGGCAGTCTACTTCTGAAAATCAGCCAGTGAAAATCCTATGGATCAAAACAGTCTGATCTGCAACCAATCATGGGGATGGCGCAGGACCAGGCAGCATTTCCTCAAAATGTTAAAGAATTTCGCTCCTAAATATATTGAAAAGAGTATTGAAAACATATGTCCACACCTAAACCTGTACATGAATGTTCATAGCAGCATTATTCATAATATGCAAAAGAGGAAACAACCCCAAATGTCCATCAACAAATGAATGGAAACAAAGTGTGGTATATCCATACAATGGAATATTATTTGGCCATAAAAAGAAATGAGATACTGATGCGCCAACATGGATAAACCTTGGAAATATGCTGAGTAAAAGAAGCCAGAAACAAAAAGCCACATATTATATGATTTCATTTGTATGATGTTTCCAGAATAGGTAAATCCAAAGGGATAGAAAGTAGATTAATGGTTTCTATCAGCCAGAGGGAGGGACAAATGGGAAGTGACTACTAGTGGATATTGGGTTTCTTTTGGGAGTGATGAAAACGTTCTAAAATAGTGGTGACTGTTGCACAGCTGTGAATACACTAAACTACTGAATTGTACACTTTAAATGGGTGAATTTTGTGGTATGTGAATTATGTCTCAGTGAAGCTGCTATTAAAAAAATAATAATAATGGTATCCTGGAGTCAGCATTTAACATAAAAAACAGTGTATATTCCCATGACCAAGCCTAATATTATCAGTACAGATAAATACATATGTAGATATATCCTGGTGAAATGTTTTTATTTCAAGGATAAATGAACTGAAACAAGGCTGACCTCAACTTCACGTCATTAACTTCAGAAGACAACAAAGCAATGTCTACAGAGCTTTGAGGATAATAAGTTATGATCCAAGAATTCAATCCCTGGATAAGTTGATGATCATGTGTAAAAGTATCAAAAATATTTGCCAACGTAGCAAGACTTCCAAAATAATGTAACTCACATTCATGTCCTGAAAAATTTACTCAACAATGTTGTGCAAATAAATAAGAAATGAATTAAAATCAGAGGATTAAAAAAAAAAAAACTATATGAGATCTTTGAAACCAATTAAACATATAGAGACACCAATGTAGTTTTTAAGATACTACCATAAGGCCATGAAAGATTAAGTAGACAAATAATTTACAATATAGATGTTTTGATTGAATAAGTAGATACGTAGTATTCTGTGCCTTATAAATGAAGAATTCACCTTTTTAAGTAAGCATCTGCCTTAGTCATCTAGTGCTGCTCTAACAGAAATACCACAAGTGGATGGCTTTAACAAAGAGAAATTTATTTTCTCACAGTCTAGTAGGCTAGAAGTCCAAATTCAGGGTATCAGCTCCAGGGGAAGGCTTGCTCCGTCAGCTCTGATGGAAGGTCCTTGTCCTCAATCTTCCCCTGGTCTAGGAGCTTCTCAGGCACAGGGACCCCAGGTCCAAAGGATGCGCTCTGCTCTCAGTGCTGCTTTCTTGATGGTATGAGGCCCCCTACTCTCTGCTTGCTTCCCTGTCCTTTTTATCTCTTGAGAGATCAAAGGTGGTGTAGGCCACACCCTAGGGAAACTCCCTTTACATTGGATCAGGGATGTGACCTGGGTAAAGGTGGTGTTACAATCCCACCCTAATCCTCTTTAACATAGAACTACAATCACAAAATGGAGGACAAACAC